AACACCACTATAAATGTTTAGAACAGAAGGCATTGAAGGTAGTGGATAAAGTCAGACATAAACAACATGCTTGCTCTATCCTTAGCTGCTCTGCCTTTTGAGAATTAAGTCTATTGTTGCCCCAGAAAAGGAAGTGTAAATAGGGTATCCATAGGTTCCTCCTGGTCAACTCTTTGATTTGCACATTTCTTAGATTGGGAAATGAATATTAAAATAGTGGTGTGTGTTTTTCTCTTAAGGAAAAAAATAACCTTATTTCTGAAATACTACCATCTTCCTAGTCTGTGTTATTTATGAAGAGTCATTACAGTTATAAATTGTCTAGTGACCTAACATTGGATTATTTGTTCCTTATGCTCTTTTGCCCTACAAGCTAATGCTCTTTTTATTAATTTTTTCCAAAGGATACTTTCCTTTTCTCCTTGAATCATAACTAAATATTATGTACATGGGTTGGTTTGGGTTTTTTTACATTTTTTTATAGGTGAAATTTGTCTTGTGATTGGTAAGGCAACTGGAAGAATGTGTTGGAAATAAATGGAAGAACATATAGGATAGGAAAGATTAAAAAATGTTCTGGAAACAGTTAAACAGCTAAAAAGCTTTGGGAACCAAATAGTTGGGAGTAACAGAACATAGCTAAAAGCCCAGAGGAATATTGCTATTTGATACGACACCCCACAGGTGAATTAGGGTGATGTCTTAATAATCTAATAACATTATAACAGAAATACCAGAACTAAGTGACTTTAACAAATTTGTTTAGTCTAATTAATTTTGACGTGGAGGGGAAAGTCTGAAATCAGGTTGCAGATTTAAGAGGAAGGCTTTCTTCCGTTGGCTCTCAGGGAAGGTCCTTGTCTCTTCAGCTTCTATTTCTTGTTCCCTCAGCCGCCTTCATATGGTGTGACATCTAGCTTCACCCATCTCTACTTGCTTGCCTCTTGCTTCTTCTTTTTCTCCTTTTATAGCTCAAAAGAAATTGACTCAAAGCACATGCCTCATTAACATAACAAAGAAACCCTTAGAATTATTATTGTAGGGATTGAGATGTGGGATTATTATTGTTGTTAGGTGCTGTTGAGTTGAGTGCAACTCATAGTGACCCTATGAACAACGTATCTGTACCCTGTCCTGTTCTTCACCGTCCTCACAATCTCTGACACGCTCCAGCCCATTGGTGCAAGTCACTCTGTCAGCCCACCTGGGTCAGGATCTTCCTCTCCTTTGCTGCCTCTCCACCTTCCCAACTATGATGTCCCTCTCCAAAGAATAACCTCTCCTAACAACATGTCCAGAGTGTGTAAGATGAAACCTCATCATCCTTGCCTCCAAGGAGCATGAACACAGTTATATACCAACAGTCAGTGAGAGTAGGTTTTGGTTTTGTCTTTTGGCAGGAGAACAGTGTTGGAGAACAGAGTTCTGTGTGCTTACCCTGTAGTTAAAGAAAGGCAGGCCAATTGGCCATAAAGTCCAGGCCAGCCAGTCACAAAATCCAATCAAGACCAGTCCTACCGTCATAAGAGGGAAGGCAGAATTCCTTAAGAGGAAATAGGCCTTGATGACTGTAAATGAAGGGAAAATGAAGGAGGACAGTTAAGCCAAACCAAAGATTAACAAAAACAAACTTATACCACCACCACCCCCCGCCCGAATTCCAGGTATGAAATGGGAATTTTCCTTTGGAAGGCTTTACAAAAACCAACTTTTTATCCATAGGGACAGCAGAACTGGAATGAGACCACTCAGAATTGACCTGTTTTCATTCAATAGTCTTAGGATCACAAGCACTCAAAGAGAAGGGAATACTGACATGGAAAACAGTTCATTTACAGGCTGTTCTTGCGGTGACTCTTGTCTAAGCTCACTCAGTAATTCTAGTTTGCCTCACTTATTTATTAAGGATGACGATCAGAAAGCTCCAATTCCAGGACAGCCTTTCCTTTAGCCTCAGTGCCTGACTTGGGCTTTTTTTCATGGGTTATTTTCCCAGAACCAACTAAATAATTGGTTCTGGGATGTAGGAGCAAAACAATGAGCATATGTTGGGACAGAAGCCAGGTCTGTGTAAGTAGACCAGTATATTTTAAATCATCTTAAACCACAGTAGACCTTCTCCATCCGGAAGTTGAAAGCCAAATCACATAAATTACAGGGTTCATTTTATGCTTGAGAGAACAAGATCCATTTAAAAAAAAATTATTCTTTAAGTAACTTAACTCCAAAAAATCTGGACTTCCTCTCCAGAAATTTTAGCTTGCAAAAATAGCATGAAATACTGAAAAATTCCTATTCAGTAATTTAGCTTTAAAAAATTATATATCTAATAGAATAATAAGTAGAACAGAGGAATGCTCCGGCTGTACAGTGCCGTGGTGCTTTGCCATGTGGCATCTTGTCTGTCTGCTCAAGATCTTTTCCATTTACTCTATAATTGTTAGCTATAAACCATATCAATGAGGTGAATTCAGGCAAATAAACTATGAGTAAATAAGGTAATCATAAAATAATTGATATTTGTAATGATGAGTCTAACAACATGAATCATAAAAGTGTAAATATTTGGCAATCTCTTAATTTAGACTATATTTAGTTCTTTGATTTGAAATTACAAAGTGATAGTTCCAGAAAATAATATTAAGTAGAGCCTCATTCTGAAAAAAGTTATTCAGAGTTTAATGTACTTTGAAAATTATCTGTTTGATATTAGTATCTTGCAATAGACTTTTAAAAATCTATTTTATAGATCATTTAGCAATAGATTTTTAAATGAAAATCATATCAGCATAGATTTATAGCCAGAATACACAATACATGTGCAAATAATAAATAAATACTGAGAAATAAAAGAGTATAGCATCTTTACTTCCCCTTATCATTTCTCACTACTATCTTGCAATGCTCTGTTATGTGTAGTGGATGAGAAAAAGACCTAATCTGTGCTGTTAAGTCAGCTCTGCAATGTAGTAAACTGTTAGCATATACTTAATTAATTTCATTAATAAAAATAACTTACCTACACTTTTTTAAACTGTTTAATATTTAAAGTCAAGTATGCAAACACACATGTGCATTTATGCTTATTTAAAAAAACTTTCTATGCATGATGCTCTGTGATTTTTTTTCTCTCAATTCTGTGGTATGATTTTTTTGGTAAAATTCTGATTAATCCTACATTCACTAAATTTATTTCCTCACTCAATATTAAATCAAGACATTGTTCTAGAGAACAAACGTAGAATAAGAAAGCAAAGATGTGATGTTCACACTCATTTACTTGAATCCAAGCTTTCTGATAATGTAGGAACACTTTACACAGGTAGTTACTGGGTTATAAATGTCCATCTTACAGATAACTCTTCCTTGCCCTATAATGCATGACTTGAAACCACATCTCATGACTGAGGAAGCTAAATTGAGACTGACTAGACGTTTTATAATTTGGGTAATCTGCATGGTAACTAGAGCAGGAAAGGTGATGGATTGATAGCCTGAAATGGGAGATTTGAGAGTGGTCTAATAAGCTCTTTCAGCAACCTACTCTGTATTAGTGGAGTTTTAGCAGGATTGTAGAGAGTCACGCGCCTTCAAAACCATGTAATCAGCCTCAATCTTTGTGCAAGGTGGTGCCGTCTTGGTAGCTCTGCTGTTTGTTGTTATTAAGTGCTGTGGAATTGACTCCAGTTCATAACTGCTTGCAGTCCAAAACCTTGCCTAATCCCCTGTTGATCTCACACTCTCTGATGTGTTTAAGCTTATTGCTGCAGTCACTGTATTAATCCAATCTCATTGAGGTTCATCATCTCTTTATGTTGACCTTTCCAAGCATGATGTCTTTTTCCAAGAACTGGACAGTTCTAACATGCCCCAAGTATGTGAGACCCAGTCTAACAATCTTTACTTCTAATTAACGACTGTGATTACACTTCTTCCAAAACAGATTTAGTTGTTTTATTTTATAGTCCATGAAATATCAAATACTGTTCTCCAACACCATAATTCAGAGAAAACAATTCTCTAAAGTTATGTAAATTTCCCCTCACTTTGGAATAATTGGACCAATTTAGATTGGCAACAAATTCTTTATTACAAACACCTTCACTTGCTGCATATGCAGATTTTAAATTATTGAAAAATTTGTGAGCCCTTTCTTGCACTAAAGTAAGATAGAATAAGAACTCTATGCACCTGATTAAACTGACGAACAAATTTCTTAAAAACATAGTTGGGAATGAGTCTTCTTCATAACCCAGAAATTGTCTGTACAAATATGTGCACACACAAACACATATACATTGTTAGTAGATAAATTTTTAACATACAGATATTATGTCTTTGCAAAAGTGCAAGGAAATAAACTTACAAAAAAACCCAAAAACCACACAAAAAACAGTTGGCTTAATTTGACTTTGAATTAAATGAGTTTAGAAATTGGTGTTCTTACGGTTTCTCTAAATAATTCCATCTATGGTTAAGTTTGAGGTAATTTGAAATTAATACATTTCTTTATAAAACTGAAACTGTTTCAGATACTTACTTTAAGGCAAGCATATTATATTCTTATTTAAAATACATAATTAGTACTTGGGAACTATGATGATCAAGTGCATTCTTTCTTTCTTTCATAGCACTGGTATAATCCTTTACTAATGGTAGGTTCTCAATAAATGGTTGATGATTAAATGAATATACTAATTTAGTTAAAATGGATATATTTGTCCACATTACAATTAAACTGTTAATTATGTACTACACTGAAATTATAAATCATAGAATATAATTGTGAATTAAGTTTTGGTCATGAATTATACTTAAAATACGCTGCCTAAGTTTTCTACAAAGTCAGTATCAACTCGTTGGCACCTAATAACAACATTAAAGTATTATTACAATTCTTATATTGAACATTTCTTATAGTGTATCATATCATCAGTTCAGCAGGAAAGTAGATTGGTTTTAGAAAACTGCAGGTAAACAATTTCTTTTTTCATTTGCAGAATGGTTTCACGCCACTGTATATGGCAGCCCAGGAAAACCACCTGGAAGTGGTCAAGTTCCTTCTTGACAATGGTGCAAGCCAAAGCCTGGCCACAGAGGTAAGATTCCTTGGTTTTTCATATGGGTAAAGTCACAGAGTGCTTTCCTCATGTGGAATTGTAAGAGTGAGACATTTTCCCACTGGGGTTTCAAGTACAATTGTATATTAATGTTTGGATTCCTAAGTTTTATGAAATATATTTGAAAGTGTGTTTTTAACCATTAAAGGATCTATCTTTCCATAGATACCCTATCTGCTTTAAATGCCTGACCACCATGAGATACTATCTCACTCCAGTAACAGTGGCAAAGTTTAACAGGGCAGCAAATAATTAATGTTAGAAAGGATAGGGTGAGAAAGGAACTCAATACATTGTTGCTAGGATTATAAAAATAGTATAGCCCTTCTGGAAGGCAGTTTGGCACTTCCTCAAAAAGCTGAACATAGAAATTCCATATGACTCAGCTATTCCACTGCTTGGAATATATCCTGAGAAAATGAGAACTGAGGCACAAATGAAGATTTGTACACCAGTGTACATAGCAGCATTATTCACCATCACAAGAACATGGAAAGAGCCCAGATGTCCAACCACGATCGAATGGATTGAGAAATTATGGTACATTCATACAATGGAACACTATGCAGAACACAGGAGCAATGGTTTTGTAAATCATTGCCTAACATGGGAAGGACTGGAGAACATTATGCTGAGTGAACTAACTCAGTCTCACAGGACAAATATTGTATAAAACCACTATTATAGAATGAGTATGAGGATGCAAGGGTGAGGGGAAGCAGAACGATGAGAATGTGTTTGGGGTGAGGGGATTAATCATGGGGTTGCACAGTTTGATGGATGGGGGTGGTGAGGGAAATTGGAAGAATCTGGTCTGGAAAACAATGTATTCGGATTTTGTAAATAAACTAGTATAAGGAAAAAAAAGTGAACAGGGCAGGTAGAGAGGAAAATTTGCAACAATGAATGAATGAAAATCCAACTTTTCTGTAAACTTTCATTAAAATCACAATAAAAGACAAACAAAAAAAGAAAAAATATATATATTAGTGGGCAATATAAGCTTTAAGTCTGTTTTCCCACAAACTTATTTTAGCCTAATTATGACTGTGCTTGTGTGTTTCCAGATTTAGTTAGGTTTAATTCATATGTCTAAATAAAGCCATTAAACCCATTTCTGTCACGTCAGTTCCAATTTCTAATGCCCTCATAGGATGAAGTTGAACTGCCTCAGAGTTCCCAAGACAGTAACCTTTTTGGGATAACTGGTTTAATTGCCATCTTTCTCCTGTGGACCAGCTGCGGGGTTAAACCACTTGCATTTTGATTAGCAGTCAAGCACTTAAACCACATGGCACCAGGATTTCTTCACGAAACTATTATGCTTTTTAAATGTGAAATAAAAGTGGCATTTGCAAATACCCTTGCAATCTTAAAGAATTAATAATAGACATTATGTGTCATTGGTACAGTCTTGGATCTCACACTCATTGCCATCAAATTGGACTGACTAACCTTCTAGTGAGTTTTCAGCAGCTGTAAACTATGTGTGAGGAGATGGCCCATCTTTCTCCTGTGGAGCAGCTGGTGAATTCAAACCACTTGCCTTTGCGCTGGCAGCACAACTCCATATCCAGTAGGCCACCAGAGCTCTCTATAGTCTTAGACTTAGTTTGCTTTTTAAATAGTGAGTGGGAGATTATAACAACTTGTGAAGTATGTCACTACAAATGTTTTGCTAGTAATAAATAATAAATATTGTATATTCTTCATGTTTACAAAAATATTGAATTAGAGTAGATTTAGGGTTATCCTTGTAATAATACCATTCTTCTTTCTTGGGTTCTGATATGTTTCTGAATGTTGGGAAAAGATGACAAGCGAGGGACCCCATGTATCTTCATCCAGTTTGAGTCTGTGTGTTCTGGAGAAACCATTAAAAAATGACAAAGGTTAATAGCTTCAAAATAATAACCATGAATATGTGAAAATATTCTAAACTTTACTCCTTGTTGTTTATTTGCTGCCGAGTCAGAACTGACCCATAGCTGACCCTCTAGTGGATTTTCTGGGACAGTAAATAGCACAGCTTTTCTTTCTGCCATGCAGCAGGCTGGTGGATTCGAACTTGTGTGTCTTTGGTGTTACAGCATGGCTACTTACCATTAGACTACCAGTAATTGTGAAGTTATAGTAGAAGTAATGGTAAACTAAAAGAATGTTTTATTAAAGAGTTAAAGAAAGAGATTCAATCTTTTGCCATTTGATGTCAAAAAAAATTGCAGGGAAGAGGAAACTTTATATTCCTATAATATTAGTGGAATTGATAATTAGTTGCCCTATTTTTACAGATCATTTGATAATAAATATTAAAATTCAATGTTCTCTTTTTTGTTTCTAGGAATTCTTATCAAAGATAAATTATAAAAGGGTATAAAACTAGTATATAAGAATATTCATCAACATAATTGTTGTTATTGTGTACTGTAAAATGACCCATAGCTGACCCTCCACTGGGTTTTCAGAGGCACTTAATTGCATGGGAGGAGATTGCCCATCCTTCTCCCATGGAGCAGTTGGTAGATTTGAACCATGTACCTTTGGGTTTGCAGCACAACTTCTTGTGCTCCCTTAGCAATAATAATTTTAAGAACCTGAAAAGCGCCCAATTATGTACCAATAGGGAAAATTTTTAGTAAATTTTGGCATATTTATACAATACTATTCATAGTTATAAAGTTTAACTGGACAGTATGTCTTGATATACGAAAATGTTCAATGTATATGCTCATCAGTGGTTTGCTCTTAGGAATTTGATTAGTGATTGAGAATTAGGAAGGAGCTTTATCCTTCATTTATGCCTTTCAGTCCTACCTGAGATTTTTGTCATAAAGATGTGTTATTTTATAACAACCACTGTTAAGTCAATTCCAGTTCATCATGGCCCATAGAACAGACTATAACTGCTTGTTGGGTTTCCAGAGCTGTGAATCTTTACCCAAACAGACTTCCACCTCTTCTCTCACCAGTCAGCCACTGGGTTCCACCTATTCGCCTTTGGATTAGCAGCAAATGTGTTAATCATTGGGCTACAAGGACTTTTTTATAATAGTCACCTTGAAACTAGTTAAAAAGTAAACCAACCAACTATATCACTCCGTTGCAGTTGAATGGATTCTGATCCTACAGAACTACCCATAAGCTTTCCAAAGAAAGCATCTTTAAAGGAGAAGCCTGCTACATCCTCCTTTAGCAGAGTAACTGATGGATTTGAATTGCCAGCTTTTTGGTTGGTAATCAAATGCTTAACCCCTTTGGCATCAGTTAAGAAATAACTACTAGTTTATAAGAAAAGAATGAACAATTAGCAGACAAAGATCACTACCTGTCTTCCCAGCTGGGAGGAGGAGCCAGTCTGAGCCCCTGAGCCTTGAGTTTGAGGTACAGGGTGAATGAGGCTAGGGGTTTACATTTAGATCATAGGAAATCCACTTTCTCTTAGGATGGGACTGTCAGGTAATAGAAATATCTTAACCACACTACTTTCATCATCTGTGCAAGATGGTTAATACTGCTTTCTTTAGGTTGTGATACCTGTTGTTGTTTGTTGTTATGTGCCGTCGAGTCGTTTGCGACTCATGATGACCCTATGTACAATAGCCCTAAACCCTGTTCTATCCTGTGCCAATTGCACTGCCTCTGACACACCCATCCCGATTACCCCAGTCACTGAATCAATCCATCTCAGAGGGTCTTCCCCTCCGGCGCCGTCCCTCCACCCTCCCAAGCATGATGTCCCTCTCCAAGGACCCGTCCCTCCTTGCAACATGCCCAAAGTATGTCAGACGAAGCCCCAGAATCCTTGCCTCCAAGGAGTAGCTTGGTTTAACCCTCTCAAGGATGAATCTGTTTGTTTTCTTGGCAGTCCATCGTACATTAAATACTCTTCTCCAGCACCACAGCTCAAAGGCATAAATCCTCCCTAGTCATTGTCCAACTCTCTGATGCATAACAAGTGATTGCAAAGACCATGGCCTGTTTGAGGCGCACCTTAGTCTCCAGAGAGACACCGTTGCTCTTGAATACTTTAGAGAGGTCCCTACTAAATCTCTCCTATAAAAGCACAGCTTACTGCCAAAAGGTTTTAATCAATCCATAAGCACTCACTAGTATTTTTAAGGTCTTGATCCCAAAAAAAGAAATATTACAGCCAACTTAAAGAAAAATAGTATGCAAGATCAGCAAATCACTACTCAGTCTTTTGACAAATAATATGTATATATAAGTGTTTACTCTTTTGTTGTAACATATTTTCATGTTCCCTTTTTTTAGTTTTAATAAGTAAACCTAAAATTAGCGGTTCTCGAATCCTGTCATTCATGTTGTCATGAGGTTTTCGATATATAACCAGTGGTTCATTCCTACAGTGTAAATCTTTGAAGTTTTTTCTCTTTTGTTGGATAGTAGTTTTAAAGAATACCAAAAAAGAGGGGGGATAAGTAGTTTTATGTATACAATGTGAATAGGATCTCCTGTATAGTATTATTTCTTATTCTCAATAATGCTGGCACATCAATTCTTAATGTGTCCAGAAGTCTATTCTTGACAAGCAAACCTTGCTGTAGTGTACCATCAAGTTGGAACTGACTCATAGGTGACCCTCAAATGGGTCTTCAGACACAAACGAGATTGCCCACATATCTGCTGGGGAGCAGCCGGCAGATTTGAGCTGCGTACCTTAAAACAAGCAAAAAGAGTTATTCGAATAATACATTTTTAATATTTTTTTTCATTTGCTAAATGATGTGGTATTCTCCAATTCCTTTAGTATTTCTTTTCCCACTGAATGAGCATACCATATAAATGTAAATGTAAATGTATGGAGTCTTTGGTGCATTTGGGATTTCTGTAAATTTTTTCCAAATGAGAGTTTGTTGCATGTTATGGCCTTTTCATCTTGATCATCCTCCTTTTGCTAACCACGATTCTGAAGTAAGAGGTACAAAGAGCTCAGTCATCCACGAGTATCATTGGCTTTCTGTGTGGTGCACCCAGCACTCCACACACTGTAAGGATACATCTTCGATCAACTAGGACATTGGCTTCATTCTTGTGAAAACTTTAAAACCACATTGCCTTTCTGCTCTTGTTTTCCTGTGGAAAAGAACTCCACAAAGAAAACCAAACTACTTAAACTTGGTTTGGAAGCGAAATCTGGAGCTACTAATTTTAGCTTCTAACACCTTGGGACTAGTATCTCTGGGTCTTTAATAAGCTTATGCCAAAAGCACATTCTTGTCAGTGCTAAGTGTCTCAATTGCAGCTTATTTTCTGGTCTCAAAGTAGTTTCTTTTCTGTACAGGTCTATGGGCTTACACAATCATATCGGTATAAAGCTGTCATTTTGTTTTGATTCTGAACAGAGGAAGTTTTTCATATTTCCTCCTTAGATTTTGTTCAGGTTATTGGAGGTGCAAAGTTATCCATTAACATATAATTTTCCTGTTACCACTTTCTTCTTTAAAGCATGTTTTCACTTTTTAAAAAGTATGTTACATATAAATGATGTTGTATGTCGTCGAGTTGGAGCCAACCCATAGCTAACCCTCCAGTGCCTTTTTAGAGACAGTTAATCGATGGAAGGAGGTTGTCCATCCTGATCCCGGGAGCAGCTGGTGCATTCGAACTATGTGCCTTCAGGATTACAATGCAGCTTCTTCCACTGGTCCCATTAAAAAACAAAAACAACCGAAAAAAAAAAGAAAGAAAAACACCCAGAAAGAAGATAAATGTATTGTTCATTTTCCTTGTGATAATTCTTTATTTATTGACCTAGATTTGTACATGCACAGAACTTCCATATGTATAATTTTTGAAGATATACCTATAAAATATCATGCACATTGTTTTTCTCCTAACATTAAATTATATTCTACCTAAGCACAAGCCTGTCAGATCATTTTAGTGACTACTGTGTTCTATGCAATGTGTCTGTTTTTCTGAGGACTACAGGACATGTCCTGGTATTATTGATACTCATCCTTTTCCTTAAAGCTGCAGAGAAAAGGCTGAAAGCTCTTCAGGGCGAGGGAAAAACAAGAATTTCTGCCCAGAGAAGGAATTAGCCTATACATCCCTGGTCAGTAATGAGACTAGAAGTCAAAATCCACACAGAAAGAATGGGAGACTTCCTGTCAGATGCTTGCTTGAATATAAACATGCAGGTGGTAGGTGCTCGCTTCTGTTTTCCAGCAAGGAAGCTCAGTGTTAAGTGTGATTTTTAGGAAGATATCCTCCAGGAGATGGATTGGCACAGTGGCTACAACGATGGGTTTAGGGCTGGAAGGATGGTGCAAGGTCAGGCAGGGGTCGTTCACTTGTACAGAGGATTGCTTTGAAGGGGAACCAATTTGACTGCACCTAACAAGATGCAGCTCTGGTGTCCTAGTAGTACAAATCTGCACTGCAATTCTGAAAACACAGAGTTCGAATCTGCCATCTGCTCTGCAGAAGGAAAGGCAATCTCCCTTCAGAGGTGGTTTAAATCTCTGAAAACCTGCTGGAGGTTAGCTGTGGGTCAGTTCTGACTTGATGGTACACAACAACAACAAGATGTTAGGATGCAAAAAACTGGGTTTCTCCCCTCTTACAGTACACTCTTCTTTGCGTGGGTCCTCTATTTCCTACCAAAATAGCAGAAATGTTAATATGACCAAAATAACATTTTAGGTGACTTATTTACCAGTTTTATCACAAGTGGTCTTCTAGTATTTTTATAATTTTTTAATTGAGATTTTAATGAAAGTTTATAAAGAACTTGGATTTCCATTCATTCATTGCTGTACACTTTCCTCCCTGTCCTCCAGTTCACTTTTCTCTTAGGGGAAAAAAAAACAAACCAAAACTATCATTGTTGTACAATTCCCTACCCCCACTCCAGTCCACTTTACTATGCAGCTCTTATTCTGGACTGTTGTTGTACAGATAATATCTAATCATATATTCCTTTTTTTTTAATTTTTTTTTTTTATTATTTTGTGTGCGTGTACCGTCAAATCAGATCTGACTGGTACAGGAGGATATTGCGCCTCCTTCTCCGGCAGAGCATCTGGTGGATTCGAACCCATATATTCCTTTTAAGTAGTTTTTTCCCTCATCTGTTTCCATGCAGTGTATGTTATTTATCACTTCTTTTCTTAGTTTCCCTCCAACTCCAATATCAGTCCTGCTTTACAACAGTGACATTTTGCAGTGTTTGTCCTTTTGTTACTGAGATACTTCACTCATAATAATGTCCTCGAAGGTCACCCATTTTGTATAATATTTCTTGGGTTCCTTGTTTTTCAGTGCTGCATCATATTCCATTGTGTGAATATACCACAGCTTCTCTATCCATTTGTTTGTTGATGGATTGTTTGCATCCCTTTGCTATTGTGAACAAAGTAACAATAAACATGGGTGGGTATAGATCTGCTTGAGCCGCAGTTCTGGTTTCTTTAGGGTATATTCCCAGTAGTGTAATTGCTGGTTCAAATGGTATTTCTGTTTTCAACTTTTTGAGAAAATGCCATACTGCCTTCTGTATTGGTTGCACCATTTTACACTGCCACCAACAGTGAATAAGGGTTCCAGTTTCTTCACAACCTCACCAGCATTTGTTGTTTGCTGCTCTATTGAATTTTGCTGTTGTTACTGGGGTGAGATGATATCTCATCGTTGTTTTGATTTAATATTCTTAAGAGGATAATAAAAGCCATAGATATTCCTTTATTTTTGCTTAATGGTTTAGATTTTGAAGAGGCCTTTTACAATATATGCAAATTGCAATGCATTGACAATAGTAACCCCATAAAAAAATCCATTATTTTTTGCCTTTTTGTTAATCGAATGAAAAAGAAAGAAAAAAAAAATACCTCAGAGGTCCATCTTGACTCTTCTGGATTTTTCCCCCCCAGGATGGCTTTACCCCCTTGGCAGTAGCTTTGCAGCAAGGTCATGATCAAGTCGTCTCACTCTTGCTCGAAAATGACACAAAAGGGAAAGTGCGCCTCCCAGCTCTTCACATCGCTGCCCGAAAAGATGACACCAAAGCAGCTGCCCTGCTACTGCAGAATGACAACAACGCGGATGTGGAATCGAAGGTGAGGCACCACAGCCAATGGCCTTGCGCCAAGACCTGAGGCCAGCCCTAACCTTTAAGAATGCCAGTGTCCCTTTTGGCAAGCTTATGCTAAACTTCCAACTTCATTGAGGGGAACACAAGTGCCTGTCCATACTAAGCCATCGAAGGCACATCTGCTCAGCACGCAAGCTAGGAGGGACAGCAGGTATGCCTGAAGTGCTCAAAGGGAGGCCACTGCCAACAAAATGGACGTTTAGGCACCTCGTAGATTTTAACTTTGTGTGGTACACTGAAGACAATGTGTGCAACTCAACCTCTAAGATGACAGACAGCCCACACCTTGCACTGATCAGCTGTGGTAGAGCATGCCAGCAGCCAGCCAGCCATTCACAGCCCTCAGTTCTCATGGTCTTGCCATGTCTGCCCTGCCAGTCTGTCTGGAGGAAGTGTGCTGTTTGGGATAGGCCATTGTACAGCCCTTCACTCAGTCTAGCTTTCTTTCTGTGCCTATTGTGCTTCCCACATAGCTTCCACCCTCGTCACTTAGCTGCCATAAGCTTTCTGCAAGCCATATCATCGATAGTGAACTAACCGTTCATTTTTTCCTCCTCTTTGCTTCCAAATGTGTTAACCTAGATGGTGGTGAATAGAACAACAGAGGTATATATATGTGTATATACATATAATCTGTATCTGCATCATCACTCTCCCATGACTTAGTGCTGCTGCTTCATTTCTTTCCCCTCTTCTTTGCATTGCCTTCTGTAGGCTAGATACCTGCTTTCTCCCCTTCCTCCGCCCCCCCAAAGTAGCATGTGCCGGAGAAGATAGTAGTTTGATTACCAGGGCTTTCTGCAGCTGAGCCTGGTGTTGAATAGGCAAGATGAAGATTCCTCGAACCTTAAGAGCATTGCTGTAGAGCTGTGTTGAGAGGCTGATGAAGAGCTTTGAGACGTAGATGCTTGTCAGATCTACATGCAGCTGCAGACAACCCTGTCATTCTGCTCATCCAGGACTGACTCTGTAGGGTCCTGCATGACACTTACCCTCAGTGGTGTCAGCAAGAGCAAAGTGACCTCAGAAGGGTCCCAGTATGACTGCCCATCGGTAACAGTATCAGTAACATAGCCAGCATGGCTTAGAAGCTTGCTAACAATTTAGAAATGCATCTAATTCTGTAAGGTTTCAATCTTTGGGAGCTAAGTGAATTGCTGCATGTCCAAGCATTTTTTAAGGAAGTAAAATTACCTTGGTATGCATATACCAGAAAAATATGTTACTGAGTAGGCATTGGCTGACAAAAGAGACCAACTTATGGATTCCTTATGGAATGCAATTGCCCATCAGGCAAAATCAATTTTGTAGTAGAACTTCTTGCAAAAAAAAAAAATTACATTTACCATGCAAAATTGCTTTTACTATTAACTAATTTGAAACTATATTAAATGTATAAAACAAGTGAATTTTGACAGTTTCCACAGACAAATCTTCATCAACAAAATAATAACACTAATAAATTGTCATACTAAGAAAGCTTGCTTTAGTTTTGTTTTTTTTTCCCTGTTCCTATCTGAATTTTTCAAACATTTGCTTCTATCTAGTCCTGCTAGTGGATTACTCAGATGTCCCCATCTCTGCCCGTGGTTCCTCCCCGCCTCTTCCCCTGCCTGTTAGTTTGGGGTTAATTAGAAACCCTGGGAGCAATTGGCACTGATTGAAAACTAGTACAGAGTGGAATGTGGACCTCAGCATATTTTGCTTCCTCATTTTATTTTGGGTAGGGTTGTCATATTAACCTCACACATAAGGGTGCAGAAGGAATCAACTGAATGTCTGTTGTGTTTCCTTTACAGAGTGGCTTCACTCCGCTCCATATAGCTGCTCACTATGGAAATATCAATGTAGCCACGTTGCTGTTAAACCGAGCAGCTGCTGTGGATTTCACGGCCAGGGTAAGAACATTGCTTTATGAAATGCCTTTAAAATGTTTGAGATTCTTTGTAATTAACCTTCTCTGACACGAGGAAGAGGTTGGCATAGATGTCTTCCAAGGGGCTTTTCAATAACAATTTTCTCTTTATACAAGTGTTTTGGTGTAGTTTTCCTTTTATATATGTGTACTTGTTCCTAACAGAAAAAGTAAAATAAGCCAGTGGGTGTGGGTTTGATAATACATAAGGATACAGAATACTTCCAGCATGCTGGGGAAAGCCGAGGGTCAGTAAGAGGGGAGGACCCTCGATGAGATTGATTGACACGGTGCCTGCCACGGTGGGTTTGAGCATGACAGAGATGAGGATAGCACAGGATAGGACAAGGTTCATATCTGTTGGCATGAGGTTACTGTGAGTCATAGCTGACTCAGTGGCCACTAACAACATACAGAACATTAGAAGACCTGATTCAAGTCATGAGGGCTGGAAATCACAAACTGCTCACCAAGTTGAAATTTCCAAGACTTTCAGCAATAGGCCAGGTGATACTAATGTCCTGTAGAAATCAAGGTCTTAATGGAAATATACCTGAGGAGAGCCAAGATCAAGACCACCTTGGACCTTTATCATGGGTCCACCACAGGCTTCCCTAATGGGTGACAGTGTTGTGTAATGTGTGTAGGCTCTTCCTTGTGGATGAAGGAGCTGTAGTGTTCCGGGTACTCTGGCTGTTACACTGTACATCAGACACAGTGATACTGCTCTGAATATGAAAACTGGCTCTGGCTAAGGCGGGACCATCAGAAGCGTCTTTATCAGGTGTGGAAAGGAAACAGGAAGCAGGATGGACAGTACTGGCTACAAGTATGGACATAGGAGTCACACTCTGTGGGTTCAAATTGTCACTCCAATCTTTAGTCTGTGTCCATCAAGTTTTTCCTTAGAAATTGAAACAATAAAATAGAACTATCATAGAATAATCTCACCATCCTCTCTTTGGGTCACTGAGGTTATTAAGTAATAACATCTGTAAAGAACTTAAAGCAGCCCCTGACAGTCTATCATCATCATCATCATCATCACTAGTCACTGCAAGAAGAGCATTTGAGCATAGTTTTTAAAGTATTTATTTGTACAAAAATCTTACTCATTAGAGACAAAACACACTTTAATAGGGTACTTAGAGTACCAGGACTAGTATTTAGCAGCCCGTGGTTTAAATGATTACATGCTTGAGCACTAGTCAAAAGGTTGATGGTTTGAACCCACCCAGAGGTATTTCAGCAAGACAAGCTTTGTTGTATGGTTCCAAAAGGTCACAGCCTTGAAAACCTTATGGAGCAGCTCTACTTTTATACATGCAGTCAGCGTAAGTCAGGGTTAAATAACAACAGAGCATTAGCACTAGTGGTGGTGGTGGTTATGTGCCATTCATTGAGTTCCTTGTGACTCATAGTGACACTATGTACAACAGCTTTGAACTCTGCTGTCTTAAGCCAACCTCATTGTCTGTAACCCCCATCCTATTACCCAAGTCACTGAGTCAATCCATCTCACCGAGGGTCTTCCTCTCTTGCACTGTCCCTCCACCCTCCCAAGCATGATGTCCCTCTCCAAGGACTGGTCCCTCCTTGCAACATGCCCAAAGTATGTCAGACGAAGCCTCAGAATCCTTGGCTCCAAGGTGCAGCCTGGTTTCACCCTCTCCAGGATGAGCAATAAAGCACTACTGATTTTTAAGTCCTTCCTAAGTGACAGATGCCACACTAAGCATTTTTATCTATTTTTTTCCCTTCCAAACATTAAGACAGGTGTTATTTATCTCTGTGTTCCAGAATTAAAATAGTAGGCTTTAGAGGTAAGTTGTTCATTCAGGGACACAGAGTTAGCAGAATGAAGTGAAAGGATTCATGTCAAAGCTTTTGATAAGTTGTCTATCTTAAACAACTTAAAAACTTCATTTTTCTTCTCCTCTTATAATTTATTAGTCCTGAAAAGAATTAAGAAGAGTTCTAATTGTACTAATACAGAGACTATTTCCTACCCTGTTGTCATCAACTTGCTAAAAGGCATCATCAGTCTGAGTGACCTGAGAATGCCACGCTGCTGCAGTGTTCTTATCACATTAATAAAGTCCTTAGAATTCAGTGGCATAGTGTCCCGTGGCTTAGTTTGACATTTTGAAGGACAAAGTGAAGTACTTCAAGCCGTGCGTAAACTTGACTTCTGTATATGTCAGTGTTTATATGTAAGTGTTAAAATTGAAGTTCCTTTCCTTAAGATGCATTCTTGTGACTTTATTTCTGTAATTCAGTGTAATAAAAACCCTATGACGTCTAAGGACTTTTCAGAAGTGTATAGACCAGAGTAGTGTTGAAAGGTTTTGAATGCATTTTTCAGAAATTTCCTAGTGGTCCTTAAAGTAGGAAAATTGTAGAAATATTGAAGCAATTTAGAAGGACCATGTATTATCAGACCCCTTCAAGCATTTCCAGAGCATCTACTTACATTTTAAAAATGACTGTGATGATTACAAATAATGTGTATTGATTGATTAAAGAACAGCAACCTCAGATCCATGTTGTTAGGTTATCTGAATAGCATATGATTTAAAATAATCATACTGTTCTTTTTGTTTCAACTGTGTTAGAGGTCAGGTATTTCACCAATTTAGAAAAGGATTCCCCCCAGTGGTTCTTGATTAATGAGGCCGGATAGCTTTAGAAGGTACTGAGCTGAAGGCTGTGGCAGAATTCAATTACACTTGTAGGAGACCTGCATTGGTGCTTGCACTCAGTACTAACTCCCTTCTCTCTGCACCTGGTGATTGATGACTTGCTTTAGGGAATCTGATAAGAGTTGATCTTCAGAAAATACAAAAACTGAGGCAACAGTTACTTGCCTTCAGAAATCCATTCTTGCCTTCAGAAATCCATTGAAGGTTACAAAGTCTAGTAATTTTCCTTACCTAATAATCCAACATGTCTGGTCTTGCACAACAAAAGGCCTTCTCATCTTTTGTCTATCAATGGAGTTTTTCTGGGTCTTGTTCTCTCAAGATTGTATCAGAAATAGCAGGCGTGAAATAAGGGGCTCTGAAATACAGGTGGGATCAAATTCTACCTGGTTAAAACCATAAAAGGAAGATCATTAGGCCTTACTTATTAAGAACAGGCTATAAATTGTAACCATAAAAGGTACCTCAGGGACCAGGTTTGAAAAGAGGTATTGATTAGACCGCCAGAGGTCAACTTCACAGCAGCCTCCTTTGTCTTACAGGACTGTGAGTTTTCCGTTTCTTGGCTGTGAAAGAATAGAGAGTGCGAGATTTATGTCATTGAAGATAGGCAGAAACCTGTCTGTCGGTTCCCTGTAGATCGATGGACTCAGGGCATGACCCAGAGAGTTGGGCAATCTCTCACAAAGACAGCAGGGGAATAGAAGCAGGAAGAATGGTTCTGGAGTCATTTCCTGCTGCAGAAGGTGTTCCTTTCCAAAGCAGATAAGAGATAGAAACAAACGTGGGGTAACTAATGGGAGTACACAATAATGCTTTTTATATGCTGCTTTGTAGTGCTGGCTCATTTATGCAGCAGTAAAGCACATCCCAGCCAGTGATCAATGTTACAGCCCCGAGTACCAAGTATGATCACCAGTTTACAGCACATTCTTGCCTATTTTATTAACACTTTTCCCTAGGGGTGTGTTAGGATGCCCACTGTCATCTTTCCAATGATATTTCAGTATGCGTGTGTAAGCTAGCCTCCCTGACATCTTTCATATTTCCTTCTGGATTATCCACGGAGACTCATTCAGCCTTATGGGTCTGCTGCAGAGACTTCATGCAGTAGCTGCTAAATGCTGCAATGCAGAGTCAGCGTTTCCCTTTCTCTGAACGGAGTCTGCCGAGGTCGTGTTGACACCGCTTGAATTTATTCGTGACCTTTACTCTCTTAGCAAATCACACTGACTCTCTTGGGGGAAAGGATTTAACTAAAATGTAGGAAAGCTAATACTGATCCTCATTCCAATGATGAATATTTATGCACTAGAGGTCTTCAATGCCAGATTATAGTGTTCGGATGCCAACCGAGTTCCTTCTGTTGATTGAAGAAGGCAGATTAATTCTTTGCTGGCTAAGAGTTATTCCATCAAATATAGTGGACCTTTTAACCTGATCTTCACTTTTGTCATTGACCTTTCTTTTGTAAGTTATTATTCACCTTCTCATTCTAAGAAAATAGATTAAAGTGCCCTTTTACTAGTCTTGTTAGTTAGTGATTGTTTTCTTGTTGTTCTCTGAAAGGATTGTGTATTTATGTGTTTAGAATTTATGCCTCAGTGTTTCCAAAAGGATCTCAGATTGTTTACAGGTTTAAATAAACTAGTAAGACATGTAAGGGTAAAATGGACAAAATAAAGAGTGTGACTGGAGAGACCCAGTGACTTGGACAATGTCTTTAGGGTTTGAGGATTTTGAGAGATGTAGTGTCAAAGGAAGCTGTGTTGTTAAATAGTTTCCTATTTGTCTCAGATCAGTGACTAGTTACCATGTCCTGTGGACTGCCTTTCTCTAATATCACAGATTTTGAACAAGGTTTTAGTAGATATTAGACCATAGTTCTGATGGCTTAGTGGTAAGGATTTGCACTGCCAACCCAAAGGTACATGGTTCAAATCCACCAGCTACTCCACAGGATAAAGATGGACAGTCAACTTCTGTGTGATTTATTGCCTGTGAAAACCCACTGGAGGTCAGCTCTGAGTTAGTTCTGACTCAGCAGCACCCAACAACAGACCATAGAGAGATAGCAGACAGGTTAAAAGAAAAGGTACTACATTTAAGGTATTACATTGTTGTTAAAGTGAGAGCCCATTACTCACTTACTCATTGCCATTGTGTTGGTTCCAATTCATAGTGATGCCACCAGCCACCCTCGCACCCCATACACCTATCAGGCTTCCAAGACTGTGAATCAGAATAGGAAATGGCTCATGGAATTTGAACCTCTAGAGGC